TGGGGGTGGAATAAAGTTATCGGAGAGATAAATGACTTTGCGGTCTCTTTCAAGATCGTAGCACACTAAGAGCTAAGATTAATCAATCTACGGATAAAGTTAACCCCCGAAGAGAACTAGTTATAAATGAGAGTCCGACGTGCGCGACCGAGATAATACGGATGCGGTGCGCGATTCGGGCAAAGTCCTCGCGGAAGGATCGTCGCGAGGTAACTGACGTTTCACCGATGTTCAAACGGAAGCGCACACCCTCCGCGCTTCGGGGGCACCCTCCCGCTCTACCAACGAGGTAACCTTTCCCACCCCTCAGGCCGAACGCGTCACGGCCTAACCCACCCTCGGCGACCCCAGGACCGTAGCCACCCCACCTTGTAGAGACTCCACCCCCCTTCGCTGCTCGTATGTCTCGTCCATCCGTCCCTCAACGACGCAGATAAACCGGGATCTGTTGTCGAGTTGCCAACCGAATGGACTCCTCCTCGTCTACCCGCCATTATCTTACTCGTCACTGTCGTCGCGACGGTGCGTCGAAAAATAGCATGGAGAAAAAAAAGAATAAAAAGAAGGACGTTGTTAATTCTTGAACATTCATGGATTGCTCCAGCCTTTATTTCATCGTGAAAAACTCTTCGCCGTCACTATCGTTATATTCAGTTTCAGCGGCATTATAAAACGCATTAGCTTGCGATGAAAAAGCGAAATTGCAGAATGCTTTAAGAGGAAGAACTTGGATTGTAAAAATAGTATATTGAATTCAAAATCGAGAAATAAATGATTCAAAGTCAAGATGTTTTCCATTAATAAAAAATATGGACCAGTACGCTTCTGACATCGCGATAAATAAACGATTTTCCAGCATTATATTCTTGCACAATCCTATGTCAAACGTATAATATTTTCAACGCTGACTTTACGATAAATAATCGTCATTCAAGCTATAATTTCCTACATTAGCAAATGTATTGAATAATCAATAAAACTTCCCGTATTGATTCAACGATCAACAACGTACGCCCATGCACATCAACGATAAAAACGGCATACCACGAATGATGCAACAACAGAAGTGAAGTTAAGTCATCTGACTGAAGCAAATAAATATTCAATTCATTCTTGATAATGCGCAAATCAAGCACACGAATCATCTCAATTTTCTCGAAGGCTGAGGAGAGTCAAACAGCGTGGGAAGGCGGTAGGGACAAGGAAAACAAGAAAGTAGAGAGGCGATAAGAGGGCGTAGTAAACGGAGAAGCACTGTACACAGACTTGAAAAGCCAAGAGAAGAGCAGAGGGTTGGTCGATGCCGCAAGGTCGTTCGGTATCGACGATTTCCCCCGATTCCCTCCTAACCCGGGGTGTCCCGATCCAATCGACGTTTTGTTACTCCACTACGATTCATTGAGGGCCGGCGTGTATAACAGACATTTTTAACTATCGGCATAAAGTACGCACGATGCTCCCAAAGATGCGACTACGTCCGCTATCTTGTCATTCTTTTTTCATTCCGAAGCCAAGGTATTGACATATCCAATGTTGAATCAGAGATAATTGCGACACCGCGCGATATTTTTCAACGAAATATAAATCCAATAATCGTTACAAAAATATTAAAAAGTTATAATTAATTTTTTAGTAGATATTAAATCGCAAAAAATACTAATTGCCAGTTATATCATCAAAAAATATCAAATTTAAGCAATTATGTAAAATATATTTTAAAACCTTAATATAAAATATTGCATTTTTCCTTCATTTAATGCAATTTCTTATTTAACGGAGAATTCATGTATTATAAAGATGTTTAAGAAGAAAAAACAATATAACTGAAGAAAATTTAATTTCAAGCTAATAATTTAATACAAACCTTTATTTGAAATTTTCAAGACTTTCTCCGTGATAAGAGTTAATCCTAATATTCCGGTTATTATAATCGGCATAGAAACCTGCTATAGAATCAATCTCGAATTTGATGTTTCACGGAGTTCGATGTTAAAAAGCTTCGATAGCACGCGTCATTATATTATAAAATTGTGATTAAAAAGTCATAATTTATAACATTCGCCGGTATCGTTCACATACCCAGCCAGTAACAGTCTTGCTGTACTGTCTATTAATAGTGGAATTGCGATTATACTCTCGCATCATTATCGTACCTGTGTGCATACACCTCTGTCAATGTCAGCTTATCCATGACCTCACCACGAGTATTATTGATGCACAATCCAAAAAAAATATAGCGGCGAATAATGAATTAGCAATTAATCAAAATGATATAAATAAATGTATGTATAATAGATGCATGCATATAGGAAAGCTAATTTGTGTATCTCTCTATCTCTATATATATTATATAGATATTATATTTATACTCACACGAAGAAAAAGTTTGCTGGCACAGCATATTCTATGCTATCATAAGAAATTTCGTCAGTTATTATATAAACAGCAAAAAGAAAATTTGTCAAAAATATTAATTTTATTTGTTAAAAATAATTTTGCAAAATTTGCAAAAGAAATAATTTCATTATAAAAACAAATGAATTCCTGATATCTCACTTCGTTTCCGAAAAATATGCCCGCGTCACTATAAATGCCGCACCCTGTATATATTTGCTAGATTATTTTGCTTCAGCAGCAAATATTTCGTATTTGAACAAATAAATTTATTCAATAATATTTTTGCGGTCTAAAATCAATTTTATTATAATATCGAATATCAGCAAAGTTTTCTCGTTTTTACATCTAATACGCAGCAAAATGTTTTGCTGCGATAGCAAAATTCTTTTTCTTCGCGTAGTTCGCAGTATAAATATCTCTGCCTAGGTATATTTCTTGCTGAATACCTATATCAGTAAATACCTAATAAAAATAAGTTAACATGTATTAACGTATGTGTTCTTTGCATCAGTGAGCAAGGCAGTATACATATACTTTTATACATTCGACGTTCCGATTGAAAACAGCTGCGCGCTGCTATTGATCGTTTATCGGTCTACCATTAGCCGACGAACGACTCTAATTATAATCATACCATTGAATATCTCGCGCGAGTTTTATATAAAAGCGTATCTCATGTTTCATAAAAGACCTTGAGACATCAACGCAAGCAGGGGATATAATGAAAATGTGAAACTCGGCGAACTAAAAAAAGAAAAGAGGGGCGTGTCATGAAATGACAAGGCCATCTTTAATGAGAACTCGAGCGATTTTTTCGATCCGTATCCCGAAATTGTAACTAAAATTCGAAAACAGAATTCAATCCGAAGACTAATTGATTATTTTCTTAAACGCTTGCTTGTGAAATTATTGCTTTATCCTGCAACTTTTTTAATATATATAAACCTTTGATAAAGTTTATGAACAAATATTATTTCATAGATTGATAATCATTCAATTCATGAACTTCTCATTTTATCAACAATATTCAAAATGTACGTTTAAGTATATAAGATTACTCTGTTAATCTCTCTGGCTACTCTCTCATCATGAGTAATCAAATGCGTATATATGGCAGAATTAAATGCGATTTTTTGTTCATTTGTTGTTTTAATTTCAAATTTATTCTATTAGATAGCAGAGAATTGATAAGCAAAGATAAGCGAGAAATTTTATTTAATGTTTAAAACTATAACAAATAATAAATTTTAAATAGTATAAATTGCATACCTTCTAGATGATATACTGTCGATGCTTTCCCGGGTCTTTTTCTCTTTTCTTGTTTATTCTATGTTATTCCTTTATGAAACTCACACGACACTCGTGAAAACACATTAATTTTGATTTCGGGCGTACTAATAGCAACGAGAGAATGTAAAAATAACAGACGAAGCTACGATTCGCTCAGTATTAAAAACTCGCGCAGCCAAATTCACATAATGCTATATTTGTTACTAATGAATAGTATACACATGTGTTTTACGATATATTACTAATTAAACGCGTTTCATTAATCGTATATGTAATACGAGTTAACATCTTCTTCGAGAAATAATACGACGAAATAATACATATGGATCAGAGATAATTCCTGCTACCTAGAGTCTCGTCGCGTGAATGACAACAAGATTCTCACATGTAAACATCGTACGTCGGAAAGAATTTCGGGCGTCGTATAGCACGCTACTGTTTACATACGATGATGTTGTTGTCATTCGCGCGACGAGACCCGAGCGAGAAGGAAATGTCGCGTGTTCAATACGTATTATTTCGTCGTATTATCTCTCAAAGAAGATATTAAACGCGGTTATTTTCTCCGAGTGTGTTACAATTAAAGATTAGCAACTCGTGTGATTAATTAATTTTTGTGATTATCGCGTTTTAACTTGCATAATATCAGGATAAAGTTGCAGATATTGTTTTCGAATTTTTCCCTTATTAATAAAATATAGGATGTCTAAAACGAAATAATTCAAACATTATTGAAACGCATTTAATTAATCAAATAATGCGCTATTGTGATACTATTAGTAGGTAATTGTGCGTTCCGTGTGTCATCCTGTTATCCCTGAAAGTACGATCGCAAGAACTATACATCATATAGAAGTAATCGTAGAAGATACCACATACGATTATTATAATTAGCAATTATCAATTCGTGTGTTTAATTAATTTTCGTGATTATCGTGTTTCAACTAATCATTAACTCGTGTAGTATCGCGCAGTATCAGGATAAAATAGTCGATGTCATTTTCGAATTCCTCACTCATTAACAAAATATCGCGTATAAAATGAATTGATTCGAGCGTTATTGAAACGCTTTTAATTAATAAGTATAATCGTTATTGACCTCGTATTTTAATATTTATTAACTGCGTATCATAAATTCGGCTCATCGATGATTTATATTTATTTGATCAAAAATCGATCGGGTGAATGAACAAAGTGATAAAATATTCTTGTATATTTCATTTTCTGCAAATATCTATCTTTAATTTTAATTAGTATACATTCATTTAATTGTATTACAATGAGAAATAGAATAAAATTGTCATGAAAATGCTATATTATTCATTAGCAACAGAAATAGCATTTTTCAGTACCAGGCGAATCGTAAACTTTGTGTAATTATGATTTTCGCGTTCTTCCGTCCCAACATGAAATAAAATACATATCGTGTGTAATTAAGTCAAGAATGCTATGTAAATTGTTGAGCAATCATATTCTGATTAATACGCGTGCGATCAAAATTAAGTGTTTTCGCATGTGAGTGCCATAAAGAAATTCTGAAGACAAGAAAAAAAGAGGCCTGGAACGCATGAAACAACGGCATGGAAACCATGAGGTAAGCAAATCAAAATTTTATTAATTTAATTGTTTTTTATAAAATTAAGTTTCGGATTAAATCAACAAGTTAGCAATAAATTAGTACCTAATTATACCATACATTCGCATATGATTTCTTATGATATGATGCCAGATTAACGAAAGATTTAAGATTTTCCATTGGTATTTATTTCAAAAATAAGGAAAAATCCCCAAAATTGTAATTATTAAAAAATAATTAATATAACGCTAATATAATATCTGCTGAAGTAGAATAAGCTCATCGAGATATTACTGAGACTTTATCAATTAATTATAATTTACCTATCTTTATTTACATTGTTTTGCATGATCTTGTTTTGTTTATAATGAGAGTTGCACAAAGCTAGAATTATGCATAGTCCAGTAAAATAGTATCAAAAACACCGAATATCTACAAAACGGATAGACAAGCCAATTTTTTTAGAGTGAGTAGAAGGTCATAGGAGATGCCCGAATTCACAAAGTTCCAACAAAATTTCCCTGTGCGTCGGCGGCCATCTTCAAAATAGGGGTAAGTTTAGATATCTCGGCTCCTATTGGTCGAATCTTTTTCTTTTTTTTAGTTTTGTAAGAAAAAATATTTGCTACAACTTTTGTTTAAAAAGTTTTTTAATAGCTGTCAAGGAAAGAAAGTTACAACCAAAAAAATGCCGTCAATTTGGGGTTGAACATAACTTACTCCTATTTTGAAGATGGCCGCCGACGCACAGGGAAATTTTGTTGGAACTTTGTGAATTCGGGCATCTCCTATGACCTTCTACTCACCCTCAAAAAATTGGCTTGTCTATCCGTTTTGCCATTTTCAGATACTATTTTACTGGACTAGCATAATTTGAAACATGTTTGATATAGCTTTATATTTAAAGCAGATTTTACAATTTATAAACTTGATCCAGTTTAGCTCAGAATATCTCATATAACGTCGATCGAACTGTTTCTGCAAACAATTAATAGTTAGTTGCGGAAAATTAACGGTGATAAAATGTCATTCGTCTCGTGTCGTATGCAGATCATTGCAGACGTGATCGACCGATAAGAATTACATAACGAGAAGAACTGGTTTACAGAGAAGCTGATACGATAGCTTATCCGACTGTGAAAACATATACACATCCCATACATGACACGTGCGGCTCTTTGCGGCTGCACATAATCAGCCACGCGCGTATCTAAGCAAATGAACTGAAATCCCCCATCGTTTTCACGGCGAATGCCTGAGCTTAATGAACGCCGCAAACAAAACATGCCGTGTCTTATCTCTCGGCCTCTTTTTGTCGCGACTCGTCTTTTGTCACGAACTCATCATTATGTTTTCCATAATAATTATTAAAAATTTCCAGTCAAAAATAATAAAAATAAGAAATTAAGTGTCAAGAATAAAAAAATAAAAAAATAAAAAAAACTGGATTACATCATTATTTTTATTTCAAAACTTTACTTTAAAACCGATACTTCTGTTTCTCCGCTACATATAATTTACGTAATTCTATTAATATAATAATGTAACAATATAAGATTTATATTATATATTGAAAGAAGCGATATGTTTCAATGACACATGTTATTTACCAATATCGATTTATCGAGCACGTCAAATTTCCCAGATTGGAAGTTCTCGCCGTGGCGAGTCTTTGATACGAGATTGTTACTCTGGAGACCGAATGGCAGAAGGTAACGTAACCTAGATCACTTTATCACATGGTACATATATCGCGATGACAAACCCCAGTATCGCTCGAAAGGGATAGGTTGGCCGCTTGATCGTTGCGGCCGCACTCGCGTTAGGTTGGTTCCAGTAACCTGGCATTAATAACTGTTATACACATTGATGCACTGTATGCGATGCACACACGGCTTGCCCTTGCATAAATCAAGCGGAATGACCGCGTAACGAAAAATCGCTTACGCTTTGTCCTACATGTCGATCCGCGCCGCGTCGCTTGTGGGCGCGATAGAAAACTATTTATCCATTGCGATGTCGATAAATCGAAGGAATCGAGTTAGGCAATCTCATAGCGTGCCATAAAAAACAATATAATCTCGGTGAATTCAATTTTCAACGCTAGATACGGGAAATTAGATCTTACGCTATTTTATTGTCGCGAATGAAACAGAGATCATTTCGTATATATGCAATCAAAATCATATATCTCTATTACATTATAACAATATTAATTCTTTTGCATCTGCGTGCAACAATGCATGCAGGCAACAACTAATTTAATAAATTCCGTCCAAAATAAAGTACATGAATTAATTGATCTTTTTGTTCCTTTTGCTAATTATTCAATGAGATTTAAAAAAAAACGGACAGCAAACAAAAAATAATGTAAACTTTCTTTCGCGCAAACTTTCTTCCCGCAATAATCACTCGTTTCTACAGAAAATAAAATACAGAATGTGACATAAAAAAAGAAATTTTATTTATCTTATTTTTCACATCTCTCATCGATCTGATATATAAATTTTTTCTACGTTGTTACATCGTTCTCTTCTCTTTTTTTTTTTTTTGCGAATTGAGCAACTAATTGTTCTAACATATACAGGGTGAATCAGTAACTCTGTCCACTTAGAATATCTCCGCTATGGATAAAGTGAAGGACGTGCCCGTGAAATGAGCAGAATCAGATTATTCTTAATAAAAATGGAGGTTTAAAAAAATGGAAGTGACTTTGAAATCTCTGAAACGCCTCCACCCACAGAAAAATTCTTACTAGCATATTATGGCTCTCTTGATACCATACAATTTTCGTAATTACAATTTACAATATTTTTGTATCTCTAAAAATAGCGGAGATGTTCTAGATGGAGTTACTGATCCACCCTGTGTATTTTTGATAGCTTCCTAAATTGGGACTTATCAGTCTTTGTAATCAGAGGACGAACTGTAGCGTACATATACTTGAAAATTCACTGATAAGCGATAGCAGAATCACAACGGCGTCCGTAATTAAGGTATCATATAATAGCTGTACAAGATAAGTGGCGTGAACAGAAAGGCAAAATTTATCCACAATTTTGATATCTTTTCTCTGGTACACACATGCTAAATTCCGCGAAAAAAAAAACAATTTAATCTTCAACAGAAACTGCTTTGATAAAGCACCATCTGTGTAAATAAATGTATGCAAATAAAAATTTTTAATTATGAAAACTAACAAAAAGAGATAATGCCAGAATAAACAGTATCTTAATATTTAATTATTACGACTTATAATGATATAGGCCAGGGCTACACGTGGTTTCGGAATTATGTTTTCAGAATCTCGCTAATTATTAAGTAGAAAAATGTTAATTATGTATATTAACAAAATCGATATGATAGATAACATAAAATTCGCTAAGCAAATGTATATTTTTGATATATTTATAAAGTAAAACAAATTAGAAAATAGAAAGGTGTACATTAAAAAAATATTATATAAAACTTCACAAAAAAATATTCGAAAGATCATATAAAATAAGATAATTTACATTGTTAATTACGTTATTTCCGACGCGATTATTATATATGTATATGTATATTCGCGATGACGAATTTCTAAAGTTTGTTCGACATACAGGAATCAAACACGAAACATCCCCTTGGCTCTCAATATTTCATCGTGAGACACCCGATATACTATACATTTCGATATAGTATCGTCTCGGTCTCGGTATCATATACATCTTCCGAGAAATCTAGCCCAAACATCGATCGCTATATAAAGTCCATACTTGCAGAGCGTAATATGTAATGCGATTCGCGATATACATATATCGTAAGATTTAACGATCATTGTGATTCCTTTCAAATTCGCGAAGTAGAAATCTGATTAACTAAATCAATTAATGATGTACCTGTCTACGCGATATAAACAAGGATTCTACGAAAACTCCTATCTATCGATTATCACGAACAAAATATATCGCATAATCTAATGACTTAATAATCAAATAATCGAGTCGTCAATGGATTAAAATTTTTTTCAAATATATTGAAAATCTCTTTCTTTCTCTCGAAAAGCAAAGACCGGTTTTTTATTTGACGCATTATACGTTGCAGAAAATCGTATGCCAATAAACATGGTACCGTATATCACTACCGAAGATGCAAATGTGTAGCAAAATGTAAAGTGCTGGAACTACCTAGAAAACGACATTCATAACAAAATGTCGTTTCAGATACTACATTATCGCGTATATATACGCGAACTGCGGAAAAGTGCACGCGTACGAACTAGTAAAACGCGCATGACCGCCATGACCATAGCAAAAGATAGATATGTGTGCTTTCCACACATTTGTATTATACCCTTTTCACTACCACAAGTTATAACTTATTATTATCAATAAGAATAACGACTAAAACTTTTGATGACACAGAATTTGTAAACCGGGGAAATTCGATGACTAAAGTTTATTTTAAATTTAATAGAGAGAAATACGATTATGTGTGTGTTAATCATCATTATATTAATAAATAAAGTAAAAATCCCATATTACGTATGTATGCACACACGCATACAGAATTCTTTAATTTTATCTTTGTTTTTGCTATTGAAAAAAAAAAAAAAATTAGATAAAGCTCACTCTATTTCGTTTATTCAAAATCCGTATTATATCATGGCATTGAACGTTAATAACATTTATATTTCTAATAATACGTACAATTTCTTTTGAACTTTTCTTTTGTGTGCGTGTGTGTTATCTATTATTATATCATACACTATTGCCTCGGGCCCAGACTTTTTGCAACCGATCCTGCGTGAGCAAATACCTATAATTTCGCGCTCATTACGTGGGCGTAGGAAGACCGTGATCCTTGCACGGAAGACGCTTCCAACCAGCTTTCAACAAGAGGCGCCTGTACAAATCCGAAGCGCTTTTCAATCCGCGATCGCGTTATTCTCGTTGTAATTTACAAATGAAATTATATTATAATGATAAATGATGAATAATAATATCCCGCGCGCGAGAGATTAGTAATTTTATATGACATTTTTATATATATAAAACATTTTCTAATGACGTCAATTAAAATTAACAAAAGTAATTTTTTTTTTAATTTTGTCTCTAATAAGCGATGAATTCGAAATAATAATCTGACGAACATGAAATTCCTACAAAATTTACTCAATTAATTAGTCGTAATGTTATTGATACTTGACATTACTTTCATTTTATTGATACTTTGCATTATTTTTATTACGATACTTGCCATTCCAAAAAAAATATCTCATTTAACAATTTTCATTATTTTTCATTGAATAGAATAGCAAAAACTTATTAGTTAGAAATAGTTTCGTAAGCAGAGAGCATTACGTTACATCGTACAAACATGTGTAGTTAAAAATAAATTGTCACTAGTTAATGTAATTATAATCTGTATTGATTAATATACTCGCGTTCCGAATATAAACATGATATATCGCAATATTGTTAACTCCATATACTAGCTGCATATTTTATACTGTTGTTAGTTCCATATGCCATTAGCTGCACATTTTATAGTGTTGTTATTTATATCTCTGTAGAATTATTGAGTAGGATAAATCGTTTCAATCGAACAATTTTTGTTTTGGATTGCGTCATTACTTGAGATATAATAAAATGTCAGATAAAATTACATGTAACAAAATTTCATCTGTATATATTTACACATCTGTGGAATCACATAGTTACGTAGTCAATTCATTAATCGGATGACAGCTTAACTTTGCTATCGAAGCGAAGTGTCAAGTTTCAACACAACACAGAAAATATTTCACTCTTCGAAATTAATTCGATAACATCGGTCATATCATATTTTTATATAAAAGATCGAAATGACTGAAATAAGTATCCTCTTCCAATCACGGATAAATTAAATCAAAAGCATTAAAAAAATAATGGTAGGAGAATTAAATCTCTGATGCAAAATTGTCAAACTCAACTTTAATATCTTGTATATTATCTCCCTGACATTTCTTCGTTGTCAGGGATAATAACATACATCTCAAGGGAACACACACACATTACGAATTTGGAAGCTCATTTTACAATCTATTTCACCAATGTCGGTTAAGCTTAATCAATATTTAAGGGAATTTTCGTCTCTTTCTACAGCTAAAATTAAATAAACATAAGGAATCTTAATATATTTCCATTAAATGACATTAGGGTGTTTCAAATTCCCATAAATGTGTTGATTATAAGAAACTTCTTTAGTTTTAACTATTTTAACAAAAATAACTATTTTAACTATTTTAACAAACTATTTTAACAAAAATAGTTTAGTGCATTAATAATGAAGTTTACTTCAGCAAAGAAATTTAATTTAAAAATATAAGGCTTTCATCTCATGGTGTCATAAATAGAACGCTTGATAAAATAAAAAAGGAGATAATATGAAGGGTAATCATGAGACATAATTTCCAACATTTCAGAGTGACTTGCAGATTAATTCAAACTGATTAATGCGCCGAAACCGACGATAATGTATGTGTGGGTGCTGGCATCGACCATTAGCATCAATCAAGAGAGGACCCATGTAGTCGATATCGCGACCATAAGCTTTCGATGCAATTCAAATCGCATGTATTAGCATGTCTCTTTCGGCAACGTTTGCCTTTCGCAATGCATAGCAAGAAACGCAAAGAGAGTGAAGAGAAAGACAGACTCACATTTTGCTGTGGTCTGCCATGCCCGGT